CGTGATTTCTGCCAAATAAAATATTAAATTAAATGTTATTTCTATGTTTATTTATTTCTATTGTCTTTAAATCCTATCTTCTTAATATTTTTTCATTTGAATGTTATTAAAAAACTAAACAAATAGTATTAAAACATACTCCACGTGTTAATCATGAAAAATTATTTGGGTCTTTACAGAACCTTAAGAGCCGTCTACAATGGAGAGTTGTAGGCCGTAATAGTAAGAAATTGACCAATCACAGACAAAGTACAGAAGAATAATCGATTGTGATTTGTCAATTTCTTACTGTTACGGTCTACAACTCTCCATTGTAGACGACCCTTAATAATGTCGGAGTTAGTACGGCAGTAATGCTACATTTAAAGGCGCATGCGCGAAAACACAGCTTTTATGGGAACTTAATTGGCTGTACAATGCGCATACGCGAAAACGTGACTTCGCAACAACACTGCATCATAGTAGCGCAGGTGTACATCGATGTGTAATTCGAAACGGTATCGTGACTGTCTCGGCATATGTTCGAAGAGTTACGTCAGCTAATTTAATCGTTTTTGGCAAGACATTTTTACTGTATTAACTGAGAACTAGAAGAGAACGATGCAGAAACTGCCGGAGACGATCAATTTTGCGGAACAGGAAGAAACGACGTTAGAACTATGGAGACAGTGGAACGTGTTCCAAACAAGCATGCGAATGTCATGCAAACGATCGAAGTTCTCCTTCTACGACGGGCCGCCGTTTGCTACTGGTATGCCACATTATGGCCACATTCTCGCTGGCACCATCAAAGACATCATCACCAGATATGCTTATCAGACCGGTCACCATGTGGAACGCCGATTCGGTTGGGACTGTCATGGATTGCCGGTGGAAAATGAGATCGACAAAATGTTAAATATCAAAGGGCCTGATGACGTTGCTAAAATGGGTATTGCGGCATACAACAATGAATGTCGCAGCATCGTCATGAGGTACTCTGAGGAATGGGAAAAGATTATAGGCCGGATGGGTCGGTGGATTGATTTCCAAAATGATTACAAAACTATGTATCCGTGGTATATGGAGTCTATTTGGTGGATATTTAAACAGCTGTATCTTAAGGGTCTTGTATATGAAGGAATTAAGGTAATGCCCTTTTCAACTGCATGTAATACATCATTGTCAAACTTTGAAGCTGGCCAAAATTACAAGGATGTTGTCGATCCATCGGTAGTTGTAGCCTTTCCATTGGTGAATGAACCAGGTGTATCTATTCTAGCTTGGACAACTACTCCTTGGACATTACCAAGCAACTTGGCACTATGTGTTAATCCTACTTATGAATATGTTGAAGTAAAAGATAACAAGTCTGACAATGTTTTTATTATGTTAGAGGCACAATTGGGTCTTGTTTTTAAATCTCAAGATCTTTATACTATTCAAGGCAGAAGAAAAGGCACAGACTTAAAAGGAAAACAATATGAACCACCGTTTCCATATTTTTTGCATTGTAGAACAAAAGGTGCTTTTCAAGTATTGAATGATACATATGTTACAGCTGAGATGGGAACAGGCATCGTCCATCAAGCCCCCTATTTTGGAGAAGATGATTATCGATGCTGCATAGAAGCTGGTATCATAAGCAAGAACCTAGATAATATGAGCGCATGTCCTGTCGACAGTAGTGGTTGTTTCATAGAACCAGTTCATGATTTTATTGGCAAGTATGTCAAAGATGCAGACAAAGACATTATAAAATATCTATTAGCCAAGAAGAGACTGATTGTCAGCACCACAACTAAGCATAGTTATCCATTTTGTTGGCGTTCTGATACACCACTTATTTACAAAGCTGTGCCGTCCTGGTTTCTGCAGGTTGAGCAGATCAAGGATAAGCTGTTGGAAGCGAGCAGTGCTACTTATTGGGTACCAGATTATGTAAAAGAGAAGCGATTCGGTAATTGGTTGCGAGACGCTCGCGATTGGGCCATAAGCCGAAATCGTTACTGGGGCAATCCTATACCGTTGTGGATTTCCGAGGATCGAGAAGAAATCGTCTGCGTGGGCAGCTTAGAAGAGCTGAAGCAGCTAACAGGCGTCAACGTAGAAGACATTCATCGGGAGAACATCGATCATTTGACTATACCATCGAAACGACCAGGACACTCACCACTGCGTCGCATACCAGAGGTATTTGATTGCTGGTTTGAATCTGGTTCAATGCCATATGCACAAATGCACTATCCATTTGAGCGACAGGAAGACTTTAACAAATGCTTCCCGGCGGATTTTATTGCCGAGGGCATCGATCAAACGCGTGGATGGTTCTACACACTTCTAGTCATTTCAACCGCGCTCTTTGGCAAGGCGCCATTCAAGAATCTCGTAGCTAACGGACTTATTCTTGCGTCTGATGGACAGAAGATGTCTAAGCGCAAGAAAAACTACCCTGATCCTATGAAAGTGGTGAAATCATATGGCGCTGATGCTCTGCGTCTCTACCTTATTAACTCGCCAGTCGTCAGGGCTGAGAATTTGCGATTCAAGGAGAGCGGCGTTCATGACATTGTTAAAGACGTCTTGTTACCTTGGTACAACGCTTTTCGATTTCTCATACAGAACATCGAGCTGTATGAGACAGATAACAATGTTCGTTTTGTATTTGATGGGGCGCTTGAACATAACTCTGACAATATAATGGATAAATGGATTTTGTCTTCCCTACAATCACTATTGCTTTTTATGAAAGAAGAAATGGAAGCGTATAGACTGTACACTGTGGTACCTCGGTTACTTAAGTTCATCGAAAATCTCACTAACTGGTACTTGCGAATGAACAGGAGACGCATCAAAGGCGACGAATTTGATCCAGATAAGCTATCTGATCGTTTAACGGCGTTGTTCACTCTATTTCGAGTACTTGATACAATGATTAGAATGAACGCGCCTTTCACGCCATTCTTGACGGAATTTATGTTCCAGTACATGTCCAAAAAGACCTCACAGCAAGGAACAAGTCTAGATAGTATACACTTTCAAATGATTCCTAAACCAATCACGAATCTGATCGACAAAGACATAGAGAAGGCTGTGTCGAGTATGCAGCTCGTCATTGAAATGGGACGTATCGTTCGGGATAGAAAAGGAATACCTATCAAATATCCACTGCAGGAGATCGTAGTGATTCATCACGATGCTCAAGTATTGGTGCAACTGAGGAAGATGGAATCGTACATACTCGCAGAGCTTAATATCAAGAACATGGTTGTTAGCACCGACAAACGAAAGTATTATGTGCTTTTGAGAGCCGAGCCAGATCATAAGATACTCGGTGCTCGTTTGAGAAGTGATTTCAAACAAGTCGCGCTGGCTATCAGAGAACTGTCTGACAGTCAATTAAGTGAATTTCTCGTTAAAAAAGAAATTGACGTATTAGGTCATAAGCTTGGAGTCAAGGATCTGCGTTTAATGTATCATTTTGATGAGAAACACAATAATTACGCGGAGAAATATGAAACTCACGAAATGGAGAACATGTTAATTCTTATGGATGTTTTTTACACCAAAGAGATGTACAACGAAGGAATAGCGCGAGAAGTAATCAATCGGATACAAAAACTGCGAAAGAAAGCTGAACTACTACCGTCCGACAGAGCCGTCGTGTATTATCGAGTAGAAAACGAGGAATTAGCCGAAATAATTAAGACTCACAAGGACATTATTGTGAAAGCAACAAAGACTCCTTTAAAACATCACTCGGAGAATACACATATGGAAATATCATACATAGATATGGACATCAAAGAAATGAAATTGCAACTCGCTTTGGAGTATCATGATATAGCAACGAAATCATCTGTAAAAGCAAATGTCTGCGAAGAAAGAAAAATCTCGGGAAGTTACGTCAATGTAATGCTCGTGGATATAGAACCTAGATATGGTGCGAAAAGCGGCGAGGCTTCGATTCTGATTTCTCCGCGCGGATTTAAGCGCCTCACATACACTCGCTTGCGACATGAGATAGACTTGATATTTGGTCTTTACGGTTATTCGTACGATTTGTATCTTGCCGATAAGAAACTCACTTATGTGATCAAGTCACCACATGACGAGCTAGATGAAAACTTACTGAATGAACAAACGATAAGAGTGATACATTCAAAAGCATCTTTGTCTTTAAAAGAATTGTCATCAAACAGGAAGCCGATTTGCGCGTTTTTCACTTTCAAGACGGGACTTGATGAGATTAGTGTATTTGTAGAAAATCCCAAATACAACAAATTATCCGAAGCACAGATCGATCACTTAACGTGCTTATCTCTTTAAAAAAACTCTCTTACATAAAAACTTTACTGAGTCGAGTTTTTCATTGGAGTTTGTTTGGAAAAAATACAGGATATTTCTTATACTTTGTTACACAAGTATACAAATAAGTTTTCTCATTGTATATATTTCAACATTCTCTTTCAAATAAAAAATATTATCTAGTTTTGAAGTATTAATATTTTTGAGAAATAAAAAACAGGAAATGACAAAAATCGTAAATCGTTTGCCTCGCATATTATACATTATTTTCTTAGTTTTACGTATAATTTATAGAGATATAGTCACTCTTGTAAACTATACAATCTTTACACATGATTTTTATGGTAACTTATTTTGTAAAAATGACAAAATAAAGCATTTAATTAAAATATTTCATCAATTAATATCTTGTATCTTGTATGTATCATGTCTATAATAAAGTTGCTCAAATGTTAGTTTAAAAACTGTTAAAGAATTATATTTATTTATATATGGTTAAAAAATATTTGATAATCAACGCAAATCATATTTATTTTAATACTTAGGGTCATTCTACAATGAATTACAAAAGATAGCAATTACTAGGGAAAAATTGCTATTTTTAGTTGCGCTTAGCTGTTGCGTTTGCCAAAAGAAAGTTGGTAAAATTTTAACTTTTGGTAACAGCAAATTATGGCCAAGCGCAACCGGAAGTAGCACTCTCCTAGTAGTTGTCACTTTCGCAACTGGCGACGGAATATTTGCAACTTATTGTAGAATAGGCCTTAGTATTTGGCGCTTATAATCTGTATTTTACTTTTATCAATGAAAGTGTTTATTACTGAAAATATGTGACAAAGCATACACTAAACACGTATTTGGTGACATTTTTTCCATAAGGTGAGAAAAAAATATAAGAGTATTTCTGGAAAATTAAATTCGTTATGAAAGTTTCAACATAACTAGAATTTAACAGATAATAAATAGAATTTAACATTAGATAAAATAGTCTCAATATAATATATTATTAGCAATGACTAACAAATTATATAGAGTAAGTCACAGACACAATAATATATGTAAATCGCTACCTTCCTGTTTTTTATTATATCTATATTTTGAATAAAAATTTACATTTTGTATAATCTCAGAAACAAAAGACTTTGTTTATCGTTAAATTATTATCTAACCGTTTAACCTTTATAAAATATTACTTTATCTCATGTAAATGCGAGAATAAATTTGAAATTTATGATACACACACACACACATATGTAATTTAATATGAATAATATAACACTAATACACACAATGTAATGTATTATAAAACTTCAAAAAAACATATTATATATAACTAAATTAATTTTTTTAAATGTTCTTATGTACAATTTATTTGTCTTTTATCGGAGAGAAATATAAATATATTTTTATCAGTGTACCTATAAAATACCTACACAATTCTTTAAGAGAAATATAAATAAATGATTAATTTTATTAGTTTCATATTCAATTTTTTTCATTAAATAACATTTAGTAAAAATAATGTATTGATACAAACTTATTTTACACTTTCATACAAAAGATATTTAATCCAATTATCTGAATATAACTACACGCCACGACATATATATATATATATATATATATATATATATATGTATATATTTGTATATGTATATATACACACACACACACACACACAGCAATTTCTTTTAGTAAAAAAATTTACATGTATTTTTATATATAAATGTACATATATTAAAATTAACAGATGTGTTATTTCTATAAAGTATTCCAAGGAATTGAATGCAAAGAGAAAAAATATATCAGCCAATTAGGAGGTGAGAACATCAGAGCGTTATAACACACTGGCAAATAACGTAAAACTTTTTAAATTTAACTCTATATTCTAGATACTTTTTTTTTTTTATTAAAACTGGTTTTTTATCTTCCGTTTAAGAATTGACAGTTGTGCCAAGACTTTTATCGGAAAAGTAGAGAAACGCATGCACGCGTGTGTATGTAATATTAATTTTATATATATATATATATATATATATATATATATATATATATGTATATATATAAAATTAAGATTTTTATATGTATATATATATATATATATAATTAATACTAGAAAAAGAGAAAAATATCACCTAGGCCAGGAATCGAATGTGGTACTCTCACTTTCATGTCAGAGCAATTTATCAATTCAGCTATGTACATACCAAGGCACTTGGTGATACTTCTCGCAATATCCAAATACAATGACTTCTAAAGATACAACAAGGCTAAATGAGATTTTCAAAAGTTACATGCCAATGTGAAATGCGCACTTTAGAGTGATGAATATCATTCAGTGAAAAGCCAAAATCTCACCAAAGATTGCGGCATCATTTAAAACAAGCTTATAATTCGACACAAATTTGCTGTATTTTTTGTAAGGAATGTCATATGTTCGATAATTTAGTATCTTTTGCATGTAAATAAGTTCAATTGGACTTTGCAGAAAATGTCAATGAAACTACGTCATTATATGTTGCGTTACATTTCATAATCTGTCATTAGTGAAGCAATATATGCATCCAAACTGATTGATACAAAACTAATGTTCAGAAAATCTGACAAAAATCACAGATTAGAAAATGTATTATTTGTTATTTTGTTCTTGAAAGTATTATGCAAACGCTCAACAATGGAGATTGCTATTGGATTCAATTGATTATCAGTTATAAATTGATGTACGTATATACAGTCCGTTAAGAGGGTCCTGGACGTTCCTGTTATACCGATCGAACGAGTAATTCGTATTTTAGATTGCATTTTGTATTTATTGCTCGGATAGAAAACCGGCTCTACAGAATAAAAGAAAATAATGAAATTAATCTCGGGTACTTTTCAATATATCAAAAACTTAACAAAAATTGTTGAAGTTAACAATCACTTCTACTTTTAGTGTACTGATATTTGAAGTTCAAGAGGTATTCATAAAAACCAAAAAGTATCCGAAATAGACATAACATTGAAGAATGTAATAAGACTTAGACTATTGATTGATTTGGGGGGGGGGGAGGGGGAGCCTACAATACAAACAATCTATAATACGTTTAAAACTAACATAACATCTTTTTACATATGTATGTCCTTGTTTCTCTAACGACGTTCTATGGTTGATGCCACTTGTATCGGTAACAGTAGTCGCGATATATATAGTACGCTCCAGAACCTTCTTAAAAGGGTACTGGATACCGACTATAGAGACCTGTAAACCGACGTTTTTATAACCTTTTCTTTATTTTCTAATTTTATTTACTGCACAACATTAAAAGCGCTTCTACAGAAGCAAATAAATGTACAAAACTATATAAAGCTTTTGAAAATGGGTATATAATGCTTTTTTGAACTCTTTTTTTCATTCATAATGATAGTATATGGTATCAGATATACATCATCACACTATGACGTTGTTCTCATCAATTAGATGGTCAAATTATAATTTGAATGTCTCATTAGACTTTTTTTTGTCTCGTACTTATGGCGCTTGTTCATTATAAATATGTACATAAGCTTACAAATAATTCTACATACATGAATGAAGGAAACTATAAGAAAAAATTTATACTGAATTTTGACATTCCAAAGAACAACCGCCAATTCTTAGCACAATTTATTTATTTTTGTAGAATGCATTTTAGATTTATTGCAATAAATACGACACTAAACGTCATAGGAGAAAGTCGGTTTACAGATCTCTATAGTCGATATCCAGTATCCTCTTAAATCACATGTTAGACCAATTGCATTATATCTTCATTAATATATACACAGCGTTATGTGTGATTTTACTCGACATTTCCGATATTATCTTGATCAGGAAAGAAATTACTCAACAGAGAAAAAGCAAAAATCACGGTAAGTGCGTAAAGCGCGATTGTGGTTGTCACAGTAAAGAGTTGAGCGTAATGATATCGCGAGTACCAGCCGATACCTAGAATAATCGTTAGAAGAGCCACTAAGAGTCGGCTCAAGTCCCACTCGTTTTGTACAGAGTTGATTTCTGCGACGGTCGGCAGATCCGGGAACGGTTGAGAATTAAAATAGATAGTCGATGAGCTGTCCAACGTAGACGTCGTTTGGGATGACGATATGGCAGCTGGTCGTGGTTGATGTACCCAACAGTGGACTACGCAGTTGTTAAAGAAACCACATTGTTCAAGTGTTTGAGTGTCGGATTTCAACACACGGCCATTGAATATTAATCGCACCGATTTGTGTGCCTCCAATTCGATTTGAAAATGCCTCCTGCGAAATTGCAACTAGTTACTTCTTTTTCTCTTTCTATTTTTAAGCCTAAAATATACTAAAGTTTCAGGGTCTATCACATCTCGTTTGTGTATTTCCAAGAAAAAAATGATACGTATTCCAGAGTTAATGGTAATTTTACAAATGAGAACAATATAAATAAGATTTACCTTTAGACGACCGCAAAAGCCCCTTTTGGGATTTCATACAAACCTCCAGATTCCGCGCAACGTGTATGTTCTTAATATACATGAACTTTTAAGAAAAAAATATACTATTTCAATGAAAAAATGCCGGCCGTCTAAAGATTAATTAATCTGTATCTTTATATTATGAAAATTGGCTTATTACTTATCGTAATATAAAATGTTACAATTTTAATAGCATATATCAATAAAAATGTATATATCTATGTGTCAGAATTACCTTTTAAAATCACCTAACATTTCCTTGAGACTTCCAGTAACAAGTTTTTGATCGTCATTTATAAACTTCAATTTTATAGTGATCTCATTACTATTATCAGATAGAGCTGCATTGTCCACTATGGGTTCTGATGAGCTACTGCAAGTAGTTTGCATTGCTGTATTTGTAGCACTGATGTCTGATTTAACAGACTCTGGCAATAAAGCTGGAGTATCGTTACTGAACGAGTCCATGGCTTCAATAAGTATCTCTTCTGTCGGCGTGGATTCTGCTGGCATAGTATCTCCTTGAGAACTTGTATCTAATGTTACACAATATAAATGTTACACAATATAATAAAATTTCAGTTACAGCAGTACTACAAAGAAATAAATAAAAAGCATATTTGCCAAATACGTTTAATTGGTTTTTTTAAGAAGCAGCGGAGATAACAAAAACAGTAGTTGTAAAGAGAGTAAGAATGTTTAAAGAATTTGTGTGTTTAAAAGTACTGTATAACAAAAATATGTGTATTAAAATGTAGAGTATAGCTACCAATTCAGACAATGAGACAGTGTAGTATATAAACAAGTTTTAGTTTAAGATATTATTAAGATATGTATGTATTATTAAGATATTGTATGTAAATGTAAATAAAACATTTGGTGATTGTAATTCTAAGAGCATTAATGTGTACATATGGCAGATGAGAACTAAGTCCAGGATGTAATGCCAATAATTCAAAGGTATGTTTTGAAACGTTTTGATTTTAATATCAAGTCATTATCAGTCGATGAAAAATATAAAATTATTAAATATAAAATTATTAAAAATTATAAAAATTATTAAATTATAAAAATTATTAAATATTAAATATAAAAATTATTTAACATAAATTAAAATGTTGAAAAGATTAGAATTAGAAAAAAAGATTATTTTGAAATCAAATTACAAAATATGCACAAACATTATCTTAAATTAACAAACACTTCATAATAAATCATAATATGATGAAAACATGCTATGTGTAACTTACTCTAAAATGCCTTAATTATATAATTTAATTAAAATGCTGTTAAATTATTAAAAGTAAACTAAATATCATCAAGAGTCAAATGCTTGGAGTTTTGAAGACTAAGACTAAAAGACAAGAAATTGCTAAAAACAAATCAAAATATTAAAATCAGTGTCGAGAAAAAATCAAGATTTTAATGATAATAAAAAAAAATTGCAAACAAGATTTTTGCGTGAAACATTTCGAACTCTTACTGGAGTCTTCTTCAGTCGCAAGTAACAATTAAAAATATAATTAATAATTAATAATAAAAGATATAAATATCAAGAAGCAGTCACAATATAAGAGTGTAACGCAAGATGAGGTAAGAGTGGCGATTGATAGTCATCCATGTTATAAAAGGTTTTTTTGTAAACGTGTTAAACCCGGAACGTAAATATAGTCCGTAATATGTGTTTAAAAAATGTGTAATTACCATGTAGATGACAGCCTATAATGATAAAGCAAGAAGAAGTATTCAGCTAAAGTAATGTACCACAAGAATAAAATTCACAAGTAACTTACTTGAAAGCACACAGTCACATGTGGGAGTCAGAGATAAGAGGCAAGAGATTTATACATGTATCCTCTCCAAAGAGGTTGTTTATCGGGATAAGCTTAACGGTGAAAACAATTCATGTTCCGTTTTATGTCGTTTAATAAATTGAAATACGAAATGTCAAGTAATTCTAAATCATTAACAGAATTCAAAGAATTCAAGAATTCGTGTGACTGTTGTCTTATGTGGATCATATCGAAAATCAATCTTTTGTAATAGTTAGATTCACGATCTAAAATCTGGACGTCTTTCTAATTAAAAGAATGATTGAGATCTGTCTTATGTTTTAAAATTACCAACAGTTAAGAAGAATCACGTTTGATATCGTTAATGTGTTTTTTAAATCAAAACAATTGAGTCGTCTCTTAAGTCTCTCCAACATAAGACAACGAACAATCGATGCAATTAATTTTGTATAAAATATTTGCGTAGAAATCATGATCAGTTTTATCCTTGTGGATCTTAATTGTATTGTTAAGTTTATTAAAACATTTGTATTCGATCGGGAAGTCAGTATTTTCAAACACTTTAGATATCGTTTTGGAGAGGTTTTTAATGTAAGAAAGAACAATTATTTTTCTCTCATCAACTAGGATTCCCCATCTTTAGTAACAGCATTCTTAATATGAAAGAGTTTTTTTAGTCTGAGATTCATAGTATCTAAAGTTACTTTTGGTAATTATGTAAAATAGGGGAGCCACCTCCGATTTCAATAATTTTTACATATGTTGTCAAGGTCATTGTCCCGAGTAATAATATGAAGGTTTTAGGCCGCGGTCGTTGTTTGTTTAGAAGTTATGAGAGGAAAAAGTTTCATGAATGAATTCTTATTTTTCGGTTCCACGTACATTTCATTCGTGTTTCAAGCGTGTAGGCAGGAGGGTCTGCGCCCCTCCTGCGCCACCCCCTAAAAACCTAACCCTAACCTAAACTCTTCTTTCTGCATTCCCTCTCGCAAAATTTCCACAATGGTTAGGACATCCTTTTTCATCCAATCAAGTCGTTATTTTTCACAAAATAACGACTTGATTTTCGAGGGGGGAGCAGGGGGAGGGGCGCAGCCCTCCCTGCCTACACGCTTGAAACACGAACGAAATGTACGTGAGATCAAAAATAATATCTGTTACAGACATTATTTCAAAAAAAGCGTCCAATCGTTCATCAAAATCGAACGTTTTCTGAAATGCAAATTCGGCCAAATAATGATCAAAAAGATATTCTTCACGAACATAGAGGCATTTTCCATGAAACGACCTTTCAAGATACAACTACAAAAGCGTATAAACAAACATGTGCCCAAACACACGCAGAACACATATTCATATATAGGATGTCCAAAAATTACATATTGTTCAGTAGACTTCTTTTCTCTGTAACTTCTAAACAAACAATGACCGCGGCCTAAAACCTTCATATTATTACTCGGGACAATGACCTTGACAACATATATAAAAATTATTGAAATCGGAGGTGGCTCCCCTATTCTACATAATTACCTTACTTTTAAAGAGTAACCGTTTTCTGATAAAATGTTGATAATGAAAAGAATGTTTTTCTCATGGAAGTCCGGATGAAAGAGCAATATAGACTCTGTCAACCAGACTAAAAATTGTACCTTTCTTGTGGCACATTGGATGATATGAAAAAAAGAACAAATATCTTCCTGAGAAAATATCATTGTGATATTAGTCAATTTTCAGACCATCTTGGACAACTTTTAGTGAAAAGTGTCCAAGAAATTAATACAACGGTTTCTCTCCATCCCAACAGTAAATTTTATCTTCTCGTGAAAAGAATTAAAAATTTTGATTTGTTCTTACAACACAAACGTTTTTTAATTGTTATTTTGTAAGAAATTGCTAAATAATATATGTTGGAGCACAATCTATATAAATGACACAACCAAGATGATTAATTAGATCAGAGAACACATGAATTATGTAAAAAACAAAATCATTATAAAACCTCTATAATAGCCAAACACTGTTTAATAACTGGACAAGTTAATTTAATTGAAATTTTGTTCAAATTTTAAACAATAAACTTAACTATTTTAAAAGACTAATTTCTGGAATGTTACATGTTAAAATGCAAAACAATAGTTTTATAAAACTTATAGACAAAACATATTTACCGATAATACATAAAATTAACTGACTCATATTTCTGAATTTGACATTTTATAGATGATACTTCAACACTATATTATTTAGCAATTTCTTGTCTTTCAGTCCTAGTCTTTAAACTTCCAAACATTTGACTTGTGATAGTTAGTTTCTATCAACAATGAATTGTTTAGTTTTTTTTTTAATAATTTAACAGCATTTTAATTAAATTATATAATTAAAACATTGTAGATTAAGTCATATAATATGTTTTCATTGTATTATAATTTATTATGAAGTGTTTGTTAATTTAAGATAAGTTTTTTGTGCATATGTTATAATTCGATTTTAATCATTTTAACATCTTATGATTTATGTTAAATAATTGTTATATTTTTCATCAACTGATGATGACTTGATATTAAGATCAAGACATTTCTCTAAATTATATCTTAAATTATATCTAAATTATATCTTGAATTTATTTGCATTACATCCTGGATTTCTTATCTGCTATATTTATACACATTAGATCATATATATAATCCAATGTGTATATATAATCAGTAACAACTCATATATACATATATATATATATATATATAATCATCATCATATATATATACATATATAATCCAATGTGTATATATAATCAGTAACAACTCAAAAATACTCCTCACAATAATACATCACCAATATCAAATTTACCTGTGATAGATGTATTTGGATTTGAATTTGTTGGATAAATGCAATATGGTGATATAGTGTCATTACTATCTGATATTGTTTCCATCTCAGATGTATTTTCCACTTCTGTTCTTTCTAAACTAGGTGACAGGTCAGTATTGTTTGTGTCCTCATGAATATCCATTAGTGACATGACATGTGCTGGCGAATCATTCAATAACTGAGCTGGTGATCTGTCACGCAAAATAAGTACTGTACGTATCAATGGTTGATCTGATATATTTGTTGAACACCAAGCAAGCCATCCTATCAACAATATACTCAGGATAATAAAAAATTCTGTTACTTCATCGCCTACACCTTCAATCAATGACATCTTATATATAAATAAGAAATGGATATCTGAAAAAATACCAATATTATATAACATATTATTTCATTACTTTAAGAGAGAAAAAAGCACAAACACAACAGTACGTAAAATAGTATGTAGAAGTTTTAATGTGTAAAATCTTGTTTTGATTAAAATTACCGCGTTGTTTACATCACGGCGCATGCTCAACGCTAGTTTTTGTTCATTTGACAGATTTCCTAACCTTAAAATACATCACTTTTAACATTTTTTATCCATTATCCAATGCTAAGTGACAATTTTTAAGCTTTCTTCAAGACGGAACAGTCACAACGGAATACCATGATTATTATTTTATTGAAGTAAAAAAACGGGAGCATATGAAACTGAATATTTACTAGATTTATTCTTTTTTCTCAAGGTAAAGACATAAATTTTATAATATAATCTGACGAATTTCTGTGAATCACATGTAAAAAAAGCACAAGATTGTTTTTGCCAAATCAAGCGATCAGAAATTGTTTGTCATTGTTATGGAAAAGAAGCCGTAATTGCAAAGAAAAGAATACTTTTTTTTGCGCGATCACATACTTCTTTCAGCTATGTCGATGTGTCACAGGAGTAATAACAAAGCAATCGCAAAATACTTTCAAAAATCCGAACAAGATGATACAGATAAGTTTTTACGACATTCAGTGATACTCCTGAAATGCTTAATAATTAATTATGAACACGATATCGCGTGTTTCTTTTTTTCCTTTTTGTCTCTCTCTTCTCTCCTTTCCACTTTTTCTCTCTCTCTCTTTTCACTCACCTCAATCTCTTTCTTAGGATTGGTTTATGGTTGCGAGAGAGTGATGGCGACCGAGCCAACAGCATAAACTTATATAGGGAGCTTTCCAGCTACGTACACAGGCGACACTGTGGCTGCGTTCGGGGAGCACGCTATCAGCGCTATTGCGTCATTCTATCTTTGTTTTACATCTACTGAGCAATAAAGATAGAATGATGCAATAGCGCTGATAGCGCGCTCCCCGAACGCACCCTGTGTAACACAATGTCCATTAGTGTGAAAAAGAGCATGCAGTGTGTCTCACTCACACTAGTGGACACTGTGTTGCACAGTGTCGTCTGTGTACGTAGCTGAAAAGCTCCCATAATAGACGGAACATTTATATGACGAAGTTGAAGACAACATTGAAAGACAGAAATAGTTCTGGAGTAGTTGTTTCTCTCTTTTACAATAACAGCGGTGGGGGACCAATCATCTCATAAGTCTGTGCTATCACCTTTCACTATCACTTTCTCTCAACTGACCATATATGTAATACTCCTATATGGCTAGTTGAGCAAGTTTTCCATAAGCGGGACTTGTCCCAACACTGAAGGATAGAAGATAGATGCTTATTGGCTCTCCAAGAAAGAGTAGGAGAAGTGTTCAATAATTGGTAATGCGCAAGCGTTGCGGGAAAATTTCGAGGTTATACTTCACGTCACATGTGCTATAGATTTTCAGTACTGGCAGTGAATATCGGAACGCAGCCAATATAAGCATTATGGATATATGTCACGCATGCGCTTTTGAACAAACTGAACAGTGATAAAGAGTAATAAAGAGAGTAGAGCATTGTCTGCACCGTAGTGTTGGGACCGCGCTGAGAGCTCAACTAGCCATATAGAAGTATTACATATATGCAACTGACTCTCGAACTCTATCTTCGTTGCTCTCGGCCACTCCCTCGGCCTGCCGCGGCCACCAATCAACTCATTGCTAGAAAAGAAAAAAACTACTCCACGACTATTTCTGTCTCTTTTAACGATGCTCCTGTTACATGAATGTTCCGTCTATTATATAAGTCTATGGCCAACAGTCAAGGCCATTGCACATGGCAAAAGCACAGTATATACAGTAGCGAAAGTCTCCCGATTTCGTGAAGCCAGCAATAAGGCCTGTTCTACAATACAGTCGTAAGCTGTAAGTCGCAAGAAATAGACCAATCACAGACAAATTACAGAAGAATAATCGATTGTGATTGGTCAATTTCTTACGACTTACGGCTTACAATTGTATTGTAGAACAGGCCTAACGCGCACGCGCGACGTTGGCTAGTTCATACGGTAACGCCATCTGAATTTCTCTCTCAGTTTATCTTTCTGTTTTGCTCTCTTTCTCTGCTTCGTTTAAAGCTTCTTGCACAATGGAAGGAATAGCGATAGCGATAGAAATATCACAGTTTTTAACACAGAATTTCAACTCGTCGGAAATTTTATTGTTATTACTTATTCCTATTTTCTGATCTGCATTGATACATATGTATTTGTATGTTAGATTCCGCTGTTCCTTTATTTTTAAATATAAACTCTTTAAGACCCTTGCACAATGGAAGGAATAGCGATAGCAAGAAATAACACAGTTTTTAAGCCTCTTACACAATGGACGGAATAGCTATAGCGATAGAAATAACAAAAGTTTTAAAGAGTTTATATTTAAAAATAAAGGTAGGAACAGCGGAATCTAACATACAAAAATACACATGTATCAATGCAGATCAGAAAATCGGAATAAGTAATAGCGATAAANTACACATGTATCAATGCAGATCAGAAAATCGGAATAAGTAATAGCGATAAAATTTCCGACGAGTTGAAATTTTGTGTGGTAAAAACTGTGTTATTTCTATCGCTATCGCTATTTCTTCCATTGTGCAAGGGGCTTTAACACAGAATTCCAACTTGTCGGAAATTTTATCGCTATTACTTATTCCGATTTTCTGATCTGCATTGATACATGTGTAGTTTTGTATGTTAGATTCCGCTGTTCCTACCTTTATTTTTAAATATAAACTCTTTAAAACTTTTGTTATTTCTATCGCTATCGCTATTCCGTCCATTGTGCAAGAGGCTTAAAGAGTTTAGATTTAAAAATAAAGGTAGGAACAGCGGAATCTAACATACAAAAATACACATGTATCAATGCAGATCAGAAAATCGGAATAAGTAATAGCGATAAA